TTTCCCCCCTCCCCCCCTTTCTCCCTCCTTCCCAGAGCTGTTCAAAATATAAAAGTGTAAAAATAAGCCTGCAGGTGAAAAAACATATGCGCTAATGGAATAAAAAAAAAACAACACAGCACCTTATCTCGCATTTATTTGAGAAGGAAAAAGCCCTTTAGGACAGAATAATCTAAAAACTTGTCATACAAAATCAAGTTCGTGTGAACATTTTCGACTTCAAGCTGAATCTTTTTGTTGGATATCGATCCATACGCTCAGCGATCTTGGGATCCCACGGCATGCCTTCGTCCGGACGAGTGTAATCGAATGACTCTTCTTCGTAATCGAACCAGTCTTTTTTGGGCTTGAATTGCCTGTATAATCTTTTGTTCCGCAAGCTGTACACTTCGCCTCCTCGGCCAGGAAAAGCTGTTTCGCCTAAAAAACATTTCAAACGATAGGTCAGAAATATTATATAATCCACTTCTTACATAACAATATTTATAGGCGACGTAAAAAAGCGTATAAAAGCACAAACCTCCGTGGTAAGTGTGAGTATCTTCAGGGTGAAATCGAACCGGATGCTCCATTATATGCAAATTCTTTGGTAATGTATTCTTGCAATCGCGAGCCATTTGCGCATATTGCGTAAGATTCCGGAATGGTCGCCCGTAAAAGTCAATTAAATCACCAACTGTTTTCATTTGATGCAGCTCGGAATTGGGAACTACGTGACATAATCTTTCCCCTAACAAATCCAGCAACTGAAATAATCCTTAGCACAGTCCAGTTTCTTCAGTGTTTTAATCAAACTTAGTCAATTTTCGTGAATGTATTCGCAGCAAATCAACAATCTCCAATGAATTAGTGGATTCCCGGTCCAGTATGAGCAATATTATCAAGATAACATACCCCAGGAAGTGCACTGATCACGTGGCAAGAACAACAGGCATCAATTGGATAAAGCAGCTTCTTGAATAAAAGATATTTACTCAATGTTAATATGATATTGGGAAGACTACCAGACTACCAAGACGGTAAAAAGATCGGCTTGAAACAGCTATATGGAATTATGTGAATGAGAGAGACTCAAAATGGCCAGTAATGGAAAAACTGAAGAAACGCGTGAAGAAACACGAAGATAAAAACAACGGCTTACCAAAATAATTGTTGTAAGCAAAAAAATAGGATAAATTTCGGAAGGTGTCAGTAAATTTTTTTAAAATCATAAATTCTGACATTTTTCAGACAAATTTTAAACACAATAGTCTCAACTAATTTTTAAGGAAATGTTAAAAAGCCAGTGAATAACAGCGCAGCCTAATCAATACTCTCAGTGTATTTCATGCCTGAGCCTTGCGAAATTTCAAGAAATACGAAACAATACTTGGAATTTCAACCGCCGATCCTTGGTGAGATCAATGCTTCGTATATCTTCGCCTTTAGCAATAAGGTATACTTGTTCTGCCGCTTCCCTAACTTGATTTTCAAGGTCGGCAGGCGGCGTGTAGTTATATCGGTACTTCAGGAATCTAAAATATCATTTTACTTGCTGCGAGAAGAAATTCATCGTCGAATAAAAATTACACCAAAATGAGATCCAAAAATTCCAACAAAAAAAACCGAAAAAATTTGGCCTGGCTGAAATCTTGCCAGGCTAATTGTACCGGTTGCATGGACCAATAAAAATTCCCATCCGCTAGGCCACAGGTGGGCGATCGGCGACCCACGGGCCGGATATGGCCCGCGAGCAGTTTTAATCCGGCCCACGGAGGGAATCGGAGTGTGGTGCCTAACCAGATGAACAGCAAACCTCTGCACTCTCATGAAAATAAATAAAACTAAAATATGCATGAGGCTAACAGACAACAATCTGAAAAATACTTTGAGACTATTTATACTGCTAACAATCTGACTGCGTTAAATTTAGAGCAAAAACACATAATCGCATGGGCAAACTCGATGAGTTGTTACCTGAGTTTTACTAAAAAGTGGCCAGCGAGTTTATGACTTAATCTACATGCACGTGCGGGCCCCCATCCCCAAAATGGGCGGTCTTTCCCGCGTGGTACCCAGGTAAGAGCCCATCAAAGTTTTTTGCGGGTAAGCTGCTAACTCGCCAATCAGAAAAGCTAGAGAGGTGAAATTTTATGGGAATGTTCCCCGTCCAAGTAGGTATTAACGAATGTAAGCATGTAAATCAGGCCCACGTGTAGTCAAAGGTAGCCCATGCCTGCGCTAGGCTACACAGCATGCCTTTGCAATATTCACGGCTGCACAACATGCCTCTGATTCAAATGCTGAACTGCTTTTCATGTTCTGATGGCCTACTTCGGCCTGCCTATTCGTTAAGTTAACCCTCTTGTGCTCGCTTCCGGTGATTTCGGGTGGTAACCATTCACTCACTCAGCTGCTAACGATTTATCCGTTCTACAAGTGTGTAGCCCAAACAGGTTGAAAACTGATAATAAACTACAACTTTTTCAGTAAAAGCAGTGAGGGCGAATAGCCCCAATTTGCCACTGAGAACTTTTTCTTTTTATTCATAGACGGATCCAGAGCGGTCTCCTGAGAGGATGGGGGAGGGAGGAGGGATTTTTCACCTTCCTTTCTCCTTTCGCCACTACACCCCTTCAAAGGTCACGCCGCATCCCTCCCCCCTCCGTTCGTCTCCACCCTCATCCCTCCCCTCGCCCCGCTCTTACTGGGCAAATCGAAAGCGGCAGGGCTCCTAGGGGGAGGGGGAGAAATAGGAAGTACCGAACAAACTTTTGTACAATAAAACAACTACTACCTGAGCCCCTGGGGAAGATGAAAGCCTCCTTCGCCTCCCTCCCCCTTTGTCCGCCAATGTTTTTATTACCTAGAACTGCTGCCATGAGTTTCATAAGCTCATGTGCGGTGAGGTTAGAATTAATAAATAGCAACGCGCACCAGACTAGCCGGTGAGATCATGTGTTTTATGCGAGTAATTGTAATAAATAGCAACGCGCACCAGACTAGCCGGTGCGATCATGCGTCTTTGTGCAGTTCAACCCATCGAACGATTGCCTGTTAATGATTTTCACTTCCTTGTATTTTAGTCTATGCAAAAATAGTTCTACCATAACGATATTTGCCTGTTAATGATTTTCACTGCTTTGTACTTTAGTCTATGCAAAAATAGTTCAAACATTGAAAACCAGACGTAATGATTTTTACTTCCTTGTACTTTAGTCTATGCAAAAATAGTTCAAACATTGAAAAACAGTTAAGAAAATGATTTTCACTGCTTTGTACTTTAGTCTATGCAAAAATAGTTCAAACATTGAAAAACAGTTAAAGATATGATTTTCACTGCTTTGTACTTTAGTCTATGCAAAAATAGTTCAAACATTGGAAAACAGTTAAAATATACTAATGTACTAAATTATAAGAGAGAAATCCTTAAAAAACTCGCTTATCTTACTTCCAATTGCTGTTCTAGAAATAATTCCCTACTTGATATTTTTAATAAACATTCAATTCGGCAAAGTATTATTAAACTTCAACAACATTATATAATTACGGCAGTAGATAAGGCACCCAACAGTTACGCTTTTATATGTAAGAGATACTACGCTTACATTTTGTGTAAAGAGTTAGGACTGCTGGCCAATCAACCTCACGTATAAATTGGATACACATACCGAAACTGAAATTATTAATAAACATGAAAAGGTATTGAATCGTTTTGGATTAAATTTAGAGGATACAGACCATGTTTTAT